GTTTATGGTCTCAATTGCTAGTTTGAAGCCTTCTTCCATACATGTTCAGTTTGTAAATGACGGTCCCATTTAGAGTAAAATAGATGATTCAGTGTGATTCTGCCCATCACACTGCACGAAACTCAGGTTAAACTAGAAATTGCTGATCAAATATGAATCAACGGTCTTGTCTAATTCTGACCTAAACTCTTTTCAGAAACATATTTTAGTGTGCTGTTTATCTGTAATAGGAGAAAGTGTGTGACTAATTGATATCTAATATCAATCAATCGATTAATTAATTGATTCCCATCCATATACTGTTTATATAATTTCCATTTTTCATGCAGATCTGTTGAATAAAGTTACAAATAGTAGTGGACAGCAGACTTTACCGTAGACCTCCACAGTGCAGGATGTAGTAGCATCTCCAGCATCGCAGGTGTACGTCCCAGAGTCAGTCACATGACATTTCATGATCTGAAGAAACCGTTTCCTTCCCATTGCATAAATGCGCAAGTCCTTGCTTGGCTTCACCTCAACCCCATTCTAAAAAGGACATAACACATGAAACACGTGATCTACTGTCCAGTTGAGTTAAATATGGTTCTTATTGTTCCACATTGATCAACACCTAATTGACAGAATATAAAGTTTGACTTATTTGAATTTTAAACTAGATGATTTTGGGCCTGAGGTTTTGTAAAATTATAAATGTTATTGGTGATGAAGAAAAACAGAAAATCAACACTTCACCTTCATCCATTTCACATCAACGTTATGTCTGGACAGCTCACACTCAATAGATATTACTGCCCCATCAGGGAATTTCTGGTCTTCCAGTTTTCTGAAAATGGTCACTGGGGGCTCTGGTGGAGAAAAAGCAGGCTTAGTTATTCAAACAAAACCCCTCTCTCTCTTTCTCCAAACCAAGCGTATGCACATCAGCTCACATTTAAAGTAGCCTTTGCAGTTACCTATAAGTTATGCAGACTAATTTACCATGATGACATTTTCATCCAATTGTCATCCTCAGCTTTTCAACCCCTAGCTCAAAGGGATGATGCATACTGAGTGACTCGGCATGGCGAGGATTATTTTACAGCATGAGGTTAAACTAGCACCTGACAGAAAAGACTGAACAGAGCTACCGCTTCTCACTGCTAGGTTATTTTGTGTGTGTAACATGAGCCTGGATAAAGGCAACAGTAGCAGAGCCATCACTTTATTCTATTATCATGCCTGCACTGGTTGGCATTTGGTCTACACTGAGTGGACCACTTTAGCTACCAGCCTGAGGTCACAACAACATTAGTACAGTAAAACTTTGTTTTGGTAGTAATGCAGTGTACTGTACATGGTTAGTGAGCTGAAAAGTTACTAAGAAGACCTTAAATATTACTTATGACAACACAATCCATGCTAATTTACCTTGCTTTGTATTGCTACTATAGTGAAATCAAATATTGATCTTTTTTTGTTGAAACAGTGGAAATATCTTTTTCCAAATGACCTACCCTTCACAGTGAGCCTTGCAGATGTCTTTAAGTTCTCTACACAGAACATGAAGGTGCCAGTGTCCTCTACTGATAGGTTAGAGATGGTGAGGCTGTGGATGTGTCCTTTGGCACTCATACGGAAGTGATTTGTCGGCTTAAGCTGGATTCCGTTTCTCATCCAGGTGCCTGTGACATGGGGATGGGAGAGCTCTACCTCAAAAGACGCAGTTTCTCTCTCTGTGGTTTTAATGTCAGTCAGCCCTCTCTTGATTGTGATTTTTCGAGCTGTAAAGAAAATTGCAGAGCTTAGAAAAGACAAACATCACAGTGATCCAACAAGTACATTTAACTATCTTTGGTGTTCAGTGTAATGAAAACTGAAAAGTAAATAAATAAAGGTCATGACTGAAAGATTGGCTCGAGTAACAAACATTTTCATTCCACTTTGCCACACTGAGCAGACATGGTGTCCATTTTCTGGTACAGAATAGGCTTGGAGGCTGTTCTGTACACAGCAGTCTGCAGTTAAACAATACAAGCTGGCACACATCGACAAGCCGATATTTTAGTCATTTGAGTACGGGGCTTTACACAAAAGCCAGCTTTGAAACTGCCAACATTTTTCACTTATTCTAACACAGACGAGCATTCCCTGTGGAAAAAAGGAGTGTTTATTTTGGAGACCTGATGACAACAACCTTAGTTTTGAAGGCCAGGGTGTAAATTTAGATGCAATGAGAGGAGATCCAAATTCATAGGAGGTGCCAACAGCAGCCTGAAGTCCTGACTTTCCCCTGCCCACCCACACTAGTGTTGAAAGAACAGCCTTTAATTCACCCACTGGCCTGTGGATCATAGGACTAAGAAATATAAGAAGCATGCACAAAGAAAAACAAGCATAAGTACATCTTAATCACTACAAGATGCCACTTTTATAGTGTGTCAAGCTTGCAACTTTGGAGAACTTCAAGTTGTTCTGTTTATCGGAAAATTTTACTTTGCAAAATGTAATTCTAGTCACTGAACAACAGCATATTAACTTCCCTCAAAAGTGCAGTCTGCTTTGCCTTTGACATAGTTAATTAAATCATCAGGGCTTTATTGATCCTGTGTCAAAACAGAAACCCTGGTCTGAAAGTCAGCTTGGGCTGTAAGTCTGTCACCTGTTGGTTGCCATCATGTTCCAGTACAAGTGCCACCCTGGTCCCCAGTCACTCAAATTACTCTTACTCAGTTAATTGAGCTTTGCCTTCACAAGAGGTAGTGCTGGAGGGTGTGCAAGAGGTGGAGCCGTCGGCAACAGCGGTAAACAAACAACAACAGGGCATAGTGAGAACACGTGCACACTCACGTTCCACTGTGAGCTGGGCTTGCGTGCGGTCATGGAGGGTTTCACAGCTGTAGGTGCCTCGGTCAGACATGGCCAGTTTGTGGATGGTGAGACTGTGTTTTCGGCCCTTGTGTTTCAGGGTATACTTGGCTCCAGGGTGGATCAGCACCCCTTGTCTCATCCACTGCACCTCTCCTGAATCCAGACTCACTTCCACCTCTAGAGTTGCCTCACTGTACTCTTCAGCTACAACGGGTGTCATTTTCTTGGTGAACACCACCTGTTGCTCTAAAAATTAATTTGAGGAATTACTACCGCACGATTAACATTTTAGGTACTTGTAGACAATTACACTGTAGATATGAATTCTTGTTCATTCTACATAACGGCATGAAGAAGAAGGCACACCCAGACAAAGCAAAGTAGAATATAGACCAAAGAAAATCAGCAAAGTAACCTTGCAAGTTCAAGCACAGAGCGCAAGCAAAATGCTCTGAGGAGCCTTGCCCCCTGCAGCGCCGCATACGCCAAAACCCCTGAGCCACTTGTCTCTGTCAGTTACCAGAGGAATTCTAACAGGAGAAGCTGCTAAGCGCTAGCCGTCAAATGCGCCTCTTCAACAATTTAAACTTGTCTAAAAGGGTCATTATTTATCATATACAGCATGTGCTTCTGTGATACTAATGGTGTACAGCCATTCAACGTATCTGGCTTTTATGTTTGCATTCACTCTAGTATTGCTGAAAATAGCCCACAGTTGAAAATATGGTGATAACTACCAGAGAGATATGAGGTTATTAAACAGTAAATTGTTGTTTATGTTACAACTTCTGTGCTTCCCTGAGACAAATATATACATATATATATAATTGTAGTGTTAATGGATGGGGCCACAACTCACCTTGAACCTGGAGTTCAGCCTCTGATACCAACCCCTCTGCATCAGCTGTCACTCTGCTGCTATCTGAAACCATGCAGTTGTGGATGCAGAGCATGTGGCATAGTCCGTTGCTTGAAATGACAGTGTGCTCATTCAGAGCTACTTGCTTGCCATTTAAGCGCCACACCAACTGAGTGTCCTCTGGTGAAACGACACACTTAAATACTGCATCTTCTCCCTCACAGACTGTGATGTTACGAAGCTCCGCTATGAACTCAACAACACGGGGAACTGAAGGCAAAGCATTCAGCTGAATTAGATTCATTGTGCTCCAACTGTTAAGATGGCACATTGACTATTCTAATCTATTTTAATTATTTATACATTATTTCTGTCTCTGACCTGCCTTAAAGTTGTATGATTTAATTGGACTTACTTTCTACGGTGACAGTAGCTGACGTCCTGTCATCTGTGGATTCACAGGCATACTCTCCAGCATCTTCTTCCACTAGTTGGTGGATGGTAAAGCTTCGTTCTCGACCTTGTGCTCGTATTGTGTGCCTACGGCTTGGAGAGATCTCTTGGCCATCCTTTAGCCACTGGACATCTCCTTTGGGCTTGTTGATCTCACATCGTAATATAAGGCTGCTGCCCTTCGGAGACACAATGTTCTCCAATGGTCTTATAAATTTCACCATCATTTCTGAAGAGTAGAATAAAGAAATATAATTCCAGAGATGTTAACTCTGTGACAGTTACAACCAAGTAAATGTTTGCTTGGAAAAATCAGATCAAAGATCAAAGAGATCAGATTTAGTTTAGGAGTGCCAAATTCTTACCTTTGACTAAAAGACTGAAATACATCTCATCTGTGTTTACGTCACAGACATATTCTCCAGAATCTGACAGCTGCAGGGGATTAATGGTGAGCTTGTGGGTATTACCCTCACTGGAGATGTGAATGTTGTCCCCGTTCAATAGTTGGCCATCCTTCAGCCACCGAACATTAGCTCTTTCTCGGCTCACAGTGGCACACAGTGTAACACTCTCATTTTCATAGGCTGTGACGTTTTTACTTGCTTCCTTATTCACAAACTTGACTGGTGGCTCTAAGAAAAATTAGATTTACAAAGATGTTCCATGTTCATACATGAAACAAAAAGTTTATCCTAAAGAAATAAAAAAATCTAAAACATGTTTCAAAGTAATTTCAATCTTACCTTGAACTTCAACAATTGTTATCAATTTGTCATCAATGGCATCACAAATGTATTTTCCAGAGTCTGAAGGCTGAAGTCCAGAGAGAACAAGCTTCCTCACAACGTCATGGCTGTCAATTTGTATACGAGTGTCTGGTTTCAGTATTTTGCCATTCCATAACCACTGAACTGTGGCGTTTGGCCGAGACACTTCACACTCTAAAATAAGGTCATCTCCCGCTACCAGGATATGATGCTCTGGGTGGCCTGAGTTTCCAATGATCTGTACTGGAGGCTCTGAACATAAAAGACATAGAATTATTTCCCTCCTCAATCAAGGAAAGACAAAATTGACATTGCTTCACAATATGATTACCTTTGACGGTGATATAGAAGATCATCTTATCATCCACTGCATCACAGGTGTACTCTCCTGAATCTTCGAGCCCCGCATTTAGGACAACTAGTGATCGGAAAACACCTTGCTCCTCACTGCAGTATCGCTCAGTGTCAGCAATTAGCTCATTATCTTTGTACCAACTGACTGAGGCATTGGATCTGGATAGTTCACACACTAGAATAATGTCATCCGATACTAAGAACTGCTTTTCTGTTTTTGCATCGGTTTTTCCAAGAATTTTTACAGGCATTTCTGAAAATGAAGAAGAAAAGAACAGAATTGTTGCCTTTTAGGGGGGGAAAATGAATTAAGTTATGGATGAAGTGGTTCAGTGTAAATTCTCCGGACAGTTTTAGATGATTCATTGTATGACATTCTGAGGTTAAAGTACACATAACATCTTTCTGAACATTGCAGGCTCTATACCTATACCGGTGCAATGCCATTGTGCCTGAAAACAAACGGCCATTGCTCTGAGGGCGTTGTTCCAAAAAGACACACTCCACACACCAACGACATAACCAACATGCTTAATTTAACTCAAACCATGACCTTTTTATAACTAAACCTAAGAAAGTAGTTTTAATGCTTAAACGTAAACAAACTGTGACCATTTGACAACATTAACCACAAGATTATTATTGTTACCACGTTGAAATGCACAAAGACCAAAAAATTCTTCTCACATTTCGGCCTTGGGCTTTCGGAAAATTGGGGCAGTCCCTTTAAGTAAAATAATCTACCTTGTACTTTTACTTGGAAATCCATCACATCATCCTTTGCATCGCAGACATATTGCCCAGAATCTTCCAGTGTTAGTGAGTGAACAGTTAATTGACGTATGACACCATCCTCCAGGATGGTAATATTTCTGGAGTCTTCTACTTCTTCCCCATTCTTCTTCCAGGTGACCTCTGCATTTGATCTTGAAACCTCACAGTCTAAAACCAGAGTCTCCCCAGCCACTTTCTCAACTCTGCTTGCCATCTTCCTTGGACGTACGAAGCGAACAGGAGGCTCTGTGCATTAAGATTGTGTTAGAAATGGATAAACACAACAGGACATTTAGAGGACCTACTAGTTTCATTCTTTAGTCTTCTTTACCTGCTATGTTTACAAAGAACGTCATGGAGTCGTCTGCAGTATCACAGACGTATTCGGCAGAATCTTTGACAGTAGTTTCAGGTATAATAAGTCTTCTGTAGACACCATCCACCTCTAGAATAAGATTTTCATTCTCCTCCACTTCAAGTCCATCTCGATACCAGCGCACCACTGCATTAGGCCGTGAGATCTCACAGCTTAGTACCATCCTCTCAGAAGTCTGCTGGCACAGTTCCATTTGGGACTGACTTGGGGACACAATACGCACTGGAGGTTCTGGAAAGTGATAGTTTAGCCATTACTCATTAGTTAAATGAACACTACAAGAAATCTGCACTCATCACCATGTTGATCTATACTGATGTATCTCCTGCAGGACTGTCTTTTTTGCATTCATCTATGATCCTGGATGAATCAGTTAACCCCCTTCTTTGGCAATGTTAAAGGCATCAACATGCTTTTAAAATAAAGTACTTTAGCCTTCAGATATGTTCAGACACTTTGCGCGACCTTGTTCTTTGAAGCATACCGATGCCTTAAATACGACAATCTACTCATACTTTTACATTGTGCTGTTACAATACGGATATACATGCATACATATATATATATATATATATATATATACTGTATGTATATGCAGTATCAGGGATTTTACCTGTAATAATGAGGTGAAAGAATATTGAATCATCAGCTGTATCACAGACGTATTCTCCAGAATCTTCGACTCCACTAGAAATAATCTTCAGTCGTCGGTAAGGGCCTTCAATTTTGAGCTTGATGTTCTCGCTGTCTTGCAGCTTTTGGCCGTCTTTGTACCAGCTGACAAAACCATTTGGACGAGACAATTCACAGCTCAGAATAATTTCTTCAGGGACGTGACGTTCAAGATGGACATCCTCCTTGGGGTAAATTATCATCACTGGAGGTTCTTTGGGGGAAGAATGTATAAAATCTTCACATTACATTTTAAGACAGGTAAAGTGACTTTGAGTTAATGTTGTTACAGATTTGATGTATGTACATTTTCATAAAATATTACCTCGTATCTTAACCTTGAACATTAAAACATTGTCTCCTGCACGGCATGTGTATGTGCCTGTGTCGGACAGTTGGGCTGAATGTATTGTCAGATTCCTTTTGGTGTCCTCTGCTTGCATTGTAATATTATTACTTTGTTGCATTTCAGCTCCATCTTTATACCACTGCACAACACCATCAGCCCTTGATACTTCACATGACAGAACGAGCTCTTCTTGTTCCACAACACTCTTGAAAAGGTCCTCCTCTGGGATATCAGCAAATGTTACCGGTGGTGCTGCAGAAAACAGGACACAAAAGAAGTAAGTTGTTGCTCGAAATTTGCATTCGTTGTGTATGCTCATGCATGCAGTTGCTCTTAGGCCAGATTTTCACAGCTTAGACATGCTGAGCTCAAGCCTTGTTATCTAGTTAACTCCTCATAAACATTATAATGGTCAGTGGGTGTTAATCCACTTTTGAAGCAAAATGAAAACATGAATTAAAGCAGCGTACTAATCTAATGCAATTACCATAGGTACTGTATGTTGAAAAAACAGTTGACTAAATATTAATTCTAGAGACTCGCCTTAAATGTGAAGCATGTATATGAAAAACAACTTAGTGTTTAATGAAATTAAGACATTTAGAGGAAATCAGCTATGATGAAAATGATGATGATCAGGTTTTGCTTCCATCTTAGACATTAGCGGTCATGAAGGTCACAAAGACTCTACATCTTGCCAAAGGAAAGCTTAGCATATCACCTTTCACCTCCACATAGAAATCGGTGAAATCTGAATCATCATCAGTTTTACAACTGTATACTCCAGAGTATGAAGATGTGGCCGACTTCATAACCAGTGTCCCCTTATTGTCCTCTGAATCAACGTTTATTTCCGATTTTGGCAAGAGTTTTATCCCATCCTCATACCAGCAGGTCTGGCTTGTGGGGTCTGAGATCTCACACTGCAGTTTGATCGGGCTGCCTGCTTCAACAGACTTGCTCCATTCAGCCTCTGGAACAGCTGAGAATCAAATCGATGCTATAGGAATTTCAATTCATTGAACAGTGACCAGATAGTAATCACTTACAGACTAAAGGATGTAAAATCTACTATTTTGCACCAGATGGAACAGATAATGTAAGAATAGTTTGGTATAATAAAGTTTGTGCCTAGTTAGGTCGACAGTGAGATCACTCCGTTACTTTGTAATCGCGAGAGTCACAGACTCACAGGCAGTCAGTGATCTACTAATGGAACATAAATCAGTCCCATTTCAAAAGATTTTTTACTGTTGTACAGGCAGAGTATATTGTACTTGACAGCAGTTTATGATTTGTTTGCTCTCTGTTTATCTATCTGTCTTTTAGTTGTTAATATAAAAACATGTACAGCCGTAATGCCCTTTCAGACTAGGAGGTCTGCAGCATCTGCAACTCATCCTTCATAAGTCTCGCCAGAATCACACAATTGCAGGCAACAGTCAGCTCTGCATCCTGCAGCAAGTGGCAAAGTTTGACAAGGTCAAAAATTGGTCATGTGGGCCACTACCGGTACCACTGGACTGGGCAGTTGAATCAGCATGAATTGTGTTTTGTGGGACCAAGTTCTAAACACTGGCATACACCTATCACTTTATAAACTTTATAAAATAGCCAGAGCACATTAAGCATTCATTTGGAGCTGTGTTTGTGGCCATTCATCCTTTGGCTTGTGTTTTGATTTTTACCAACACCGAAGGGAAATATCTGCCTCTAGTCGCTACATTTGGCTGCTTGCTGTTTGGTGCTAAGCCAGTAGTGTACAGTCTATTTATCAGAGCTTTTTGGCTGAAAACAGCAGCTTGCTAAATCTTAAAACAGGGTTGATAAAGAGCAGTGAGACTAAAAAGGCAGAAAAACTGTAAAGCCAAAACAATGTGCTGAAAAACACTAAAACTCTCTGTAGAGCTGGGGAGAACTGCAGAGTCCGGTGATAACACTCTGTGGTTTGCTACTACAAGTGACCTGTTTCACATTACACATAGTAATTTGATCCACTGTGCAGTCCTGGAGTTTTACCACCAAGCTCAACAAATAGTCAACCACTTGCTACTTCCAGTCTGAAAGGGCCTTCAAGTATTTGTTTCTCAGGGCAAGAATAGCATTGAGTTGCATATCACTGCCATTACTTTAAAAAAAAAAAAAATATCAATAGTAAATCATCTCTGATCCTTTTAAGTACTTTTTCCTGATTAAATTTAAGCTGTAACAACATTATTATATATACATTTTCTAAAGGGTATATAGTATATCTTGACCAAAATCATTGAAAGTACATAATTAAGTATTAGTACACATTATCTTAAAATAGAATAGAATAAATTGTTGAAGTTGGTCTAGTAGACAAGCATAAATTGAAAGACATTAGTGATTCTGACAAAGCTCAAAATACTTAGATCACCTGCAACATCCACCTTGAATTCTATATGGTCATCTGCAGCCTCACAGCTGTACACCCCAGAGTGTCTGACTTCTGCTGATTTAATAACCAGCGCTCTCAGTTGTTCTTTTGATTGGATTTCATATTCACTCTTTGGAAGTAACTGTTCTCCATCCTTGTGCCAATAGACTTGGGCACTGGGCTCTGAGACTTCACACTGCAGCTTAATTGGGCAACCTGCTTCAAAAAATTTGTGTCTTGCGACTTCTGGCAGTGCTGAAAACCTCACAGGGGTAGCTGCAGGGATATTATAAGAGTTGTAGAGCACTGCTGTTAAGTTTTCAGAACATCATTTAAGAGTGTTGTGCACAACAAAGTTTTTGGTGTGATTATTATACCATCTATTAGGCACTCTGTGTTTTTATACAGCGCTACAAAATACTCATAAGAATATTTGTGCAAAACAATTTAGTTGGTAGTTGTAGTGGGTAATTCAAGAAATGCTAAAAGGTTCATATCACACCTGGAAGCTTATTAATTAAATCTGAATACAAGAAAATCACCTTCAATGTCCACATGAAATGTCACAACATCATCAGTGAGGCTACAGCTGTAGAGGCCAGAGTCAGAGACCTTGGCAGAATGAATCATTAATTTTCTCAGGCTGCCGTCTCTTTTCATATCGAGGCCAGTTTTGCAAAAAAGCTCCACCTCGTCTTTAAACCAGGAAACCTGAGCAACAGGGTCTGAAACCTCACACTGGAGGATAATTGGACAACCAATTGCAATCATCTTGTATTTTTCTGTCAGTGGGATTGGCATGATCTGTGGCGATCGGCCTAAGAGAAGGGAATAACAAGGGTTTTGGATAAGAGATGAATTCACTAACAGTGGACAAAACACACTGTCCAGCCAGTCATACCATGTTCTCATGAACATTCAAAACAAAGCAAATTTAAATTGTCCACTCACACCATAGAATAAGATGGACGTTGTATGTATGATAAGAAGATAGAAAGTATAGAGATAAATCACCTTTTACGTCCACTTTAAATGTGATGGTGTCGTCTGATGTTGAACATTCATAGGTGCCACCTTGTATGTTTTCAGCTGAATGGATGAGTAGTGTCCTTGTCAGTCCATCTGACTGTATGTCCATATTGTTTTGTGGTAGGAGTTTCACCCCGTCCTTGTACCAGTCGACATGGGCAGAAGGATCATGAGATAGCTCACATCTGAGGACAATGGCAGAGCCTTCTTGGACGGACTTGTTCCTGTCAGTCTCTTGAAGCTCTGAGAACTTCACAGGTAGTGCTATAGGTTTCAGATATTGCAAACAACAGAGTGTAACTAAGTCGTACACTTCATAAAAGTACTTAAGTATCCAACCTACTATATATAATAAAGAATTTCAAGACAAAACAATATACAGCAACACACAACAACATAAACACACCAACTGGCTTAACAAACAAACAATGAGTAAAACAAAACAAAAATCACGGGGTTAAAAGAGCAAGAATAAAGTTCTGAAATGTAAAAGTTATCATACAGTGACATTAAAATCACAGCTAAAGAGCACGGGTAAGACACAAGAAACAAGAAAGTGACAAAGGGTTTGTTTATGGTGGTAAAGGAGCCGTATTCAGTTAGTGCCTTTTAATGAAAAAGAGCAAGACACATGAAACGTTAGCTTTCTTAAGATATTGGACATGCATAATAAGAAGCCGCATGGCGAGAAAACATCCTATATTATTTAATTTCACTTAAAAGTTTCAAAAGTTAAAAGATGAGTATGATCAGGTGTGATAGAGTTGTTTTTCTTTAAACTGCCCTAATATAAAATGCGATAACAAATATTAAAATATATTAATTCATGTTAAATGTTGCCTGTTTTATGAACTTCTTGAATCAGTTAAATTAAAAGTTATTATTTCAGAGGAAAGTAGTAGGAAAAATTAGCCATTGTCTGTTGGGTGAACTGTTACTTAATCACCTGCTGTTAAAATTAGTTGGCCGTGCAAGACAATGCAAGCGCTACAGTTTCTGAGCATCACCTTTTACTTCCACAGCGAACTGGATGTCATCATCCTTGGACTCACAACGGTATACGCCAGTGTGAGCCCGCTCTGCTGATGAGACAACTAGACTCCGTAAATTTCCTTCTGACTGGAGGTCTACTCCTTTTTGAGGTAGGACCTTTGTTCCATCCTTGTACCAACTGACTTGTCCAGTGGAGTTTGACAGCTCACATTGTAGAGCAATGGGACATCCTGCCATGACCGTCTTTTTCTGGTCAGCCTCAGATAAAGCTGAAAACTTCACAAGTGGAGCTACAGGATTAAATGTAAAATGCAAATCGGTCAATAAAACAGGTACTGTTATTAACCAAATGAAGAAAAGCACAATCCTGAAACTGAAGCCTTCAGAAGCATATTAAAAAAAACTTACATTTTAAATAATTTACACTTGAATTTGCCTTTTATATACATCTGAACCTGCATGTCCCAGTGGAAATTGTGGCTATTCAGAAGGTTTATGTTTTGGCATAGAGCTGATTACATCCGCCCCAAGTAACTGAATTTAATTCCAAATAACCAGTATCATGTTCAATCATGTTCTCACGTTTAAAACAAACAAAATTTCATGAAAATTGGTTCAGAATTAAGCGAGTTACAGTTGATTTTGTATTGAAGTTTTTGCATTTCTCAAAAGACATTGTATTGTTTACTCGCAGATCTTGATTTGAGATAGAAAGCATAGAGTTTTGTTGGGGTTTTTTTTGCAAAAAAATAAAGGGGCTCACAGTTAAATCCAAAGAAAAGGTTATTTTGATTTGACTGTGACACCCATTCATCATCCTCTTCAGCACAGTAGGCATCAACATGTACAGCATCTTCAGTGCTGTTTTGAGAACTGTTTAAAAGAGTATGAAAAATGTAAAGAAATGTTCCTAAAAAAAAACGGTCAAAGATTACGCGGTATAAGGAAAAGGAGTCTAGCTAGTTAGTCAGACATTTAGAAATATTCCCTAAATGTTTCCTAGTTAAGACTAATAGCATTAGAATAAAAAAAGAGAACAGACATATGTACACTATGATTGATGTGCAAACCACCTGTAAATGTAGCATGCTTCTAGGATCTTTTATTCTGTAGAGATGTCAGGTGATATCTTTACTATATCTCTGATGTAAACTTTAAACTTATCCTCCAGAGAGAAAATTAAGACGTTTTTCACTCTATGGCAGTGTCTTAATTTTTGTGTGCCGCCTGTTTCTTGGAAGATAAATCTATAAGATCTTTATAGAACTTTTCTTTTTTATGAGTAAAGCAAACGCATTTGAATGCTTTTCACCCTGACTAAAATCTGTTTGAAGAACAGAACATAAAAACAACTTTTGTCACCTTTAACATCCACATGAAACTGCATTGCATCATCTGTTGTCTTGCAGCTGTAAATTCCTGCATGAGACAGCATCGCTGACTGGAAAGCCAGTGTTCTTATGGAACCCTCTGCCAGCATGTCTTGCCCAGCTGCTTCAAGTAGTTTTATTCCATCCTTGTACCAAGTAACTTGAGCGTTAGGATCTGATATCTCACATCGCAGCACTATGGGTTCACCAACTTCAACAGACTTGTTCCTCTCAGCCTCACAAAGTGTTGTAATTCTCACAGGCGGAGCTGGGGATGTTTGAGGTAACATCAAGAGAAAATTACATCACTATGACTGACTACAACATAAATTATGTTTTCAAAACAGAAGAGCAAAATCGCACATCAAGATTAGTCATGCCAATAAATCTTAAGAGTTAAAGTAAGTAATTATAAAAGATATGTCTTTATGTTATTAGTAATCTAAAAAGAGGAATCTCTGGTTAGACTTGAGATAACTAGGCATTCAAGTTAGGATTTGAAGCTAATGTATTTACTCTTTTTCCCTATCTTTAATATTCCTCACAGACCACCCAAGCTCAAAGTTTAACATTGACTACTAAAGTAGTTTTAGTAGGAACAAAATCAAGTAAGTAAATGTAGAAATTGTCAAAATGTCAAGGATTGCAAAAAACAATCTCTTCATTTTGCACAATGTCAACATTGTGCCCGTCCATTTTTTGTTTGATAATGCTAACCATTTAAATCACCTTCAACAGCCACCTTATTTGCAGTGACACTGTCACTCCAGTGACTGTCACATGTCCTTGATAGATAGATCTCTTCTGATTGGACAGTTGATGCCTGCTTGACATAATAAGGCTCTGCAAACTGCATAGATGATCTTTTCCCAGAGTTAACTGTGCTGTGTACATGGTCTTCTGTGGCCTTCATGGTGTGATGGCAGTTTGCTTGGACCGTTGTGGTCTGCATGGACAGACACAGCACCTCTGAATGGTTAGGCACTGCTTGTCCTGTGTGATCATCCAGTGCAGAGTGTTTCAGGGTGTAATGATCCCCTGGTTGGACAGTTTCCGCCTCTTTAGAGTTATACAAGTCCAGTGATTGAAGGGATGCAGTGTTTAAGTCACTGAGCTTTCCTGACTGGACAGTTGATGCCTGTAGAGAGTTGTTCAACTCTTCTGGTTGGTCAGTTAAAATCCATAAGGAGTCATAGGGCTCCTCTGAATGGACAGTTTCAGTTTGTAAGCAATCAAGAGGCTTCTTTGACAGGACAGTTGGCATCTGTATGGAGTTAGAAGGCGCCTCAGATTGTACAATTCCAGTCTTTAGGGAATTAAAAGGCTCATCTGATATGACAGTTGCAGTATATAAGGATGTAAAGGGCTCCTTTGGTTGTACAGTTTCAGTATGTGAGGAATTAAAGGGCTCCTCTGACTGCAGAGTTGCAGTTTTTAAGGAGCTACAGAACCTGTCTGAGCTGACTGTTGAAATCTGTAAGTGGTTAGTAAGGTGCTCTGCCTGGACAGTCGAAGTCTGTAGGGAGTTACCTAGTTCTGCCTGGACAGTCGGCATCTGTATTGAGCTATATAGATCTTCTGATTGGACAATTGGAGTATTGGGAGTAGATTCCTCTGATTCAGTTGCAGTTTGGAGAAAATTACAAAATTCATCTCTCTGGACAGCTGTCTGCAGAGGACTATCAAGCTCTGCAGATGGGTCTTCTGCATGCTGTATATAGTAAATAAATTCCTCACCTTGTGACTCTGTGGGCTGGTTAGGGTGATGTTGTATGTCATACTGCATTATTGTTGGCTTTACAGAGTTACAGCAAACTGGAGATTGAGCATTTATTGCTCGTTGATGGTCAGAGAGCTCCTTTGGCTGTTTAGTTGTAATCCAGTCAGTCCTGTATTCATATGTTGACTGAGCATTGGGTGTATTTGAGGAATGTTCTTCATACATCTGTGTATCTCCTCTCTTGTCACAGACGATGCCAGAATTGCATTTTGAGGACATGCAGTCAACTTCAACAGGATAAACATCTTCAGTGGATGACTTCTCTTGGTCAGAAGAGAGCCATGGCGATGTAGCTATAAGCATTGTGATGTACACAGAGAAAGGTTTTCAGTTGTTGATGGTCTCAATACTTCTTCTCATAACAGAATTTTACATCAGTGTGAGTTAGCATGGAGTTATGGGATAATTCATTGCAAAGACAAACAAGAAGGTCGACCAGGTTTGGTCTGAGATTGAGCTTCTATATTTCCCCCTTCAACTGAGTCCTAATACTGTTATATGATCAGTCTCTACACTACCACCTTAAAAACCTAAAAAAGTGCTTTAATTTTCTTCTCTTTCATAAGAGTTCGTTGTCATTGCAACGGTGAGAGGTTTGGGGCAGCAATGTGAATGAGAGGATCTGGTGATGAATAAGACACAAGATGGACTTAAAGAGTTGGTAAGCTGCTTGTTACAAGCAAAGATGGCTGTTAAATGAAGAATTAATTGACAAACATAACATTTATGTTAGTATGAAGAGCAGCTACTCAGCTACTAAACACCCACATGTTTGATTAAGAGCCAAAAACTGCAGGAAATGACATGAGACCATGATTCAATATGACAAAAAGCAATTGTCTAAATGAGAAAAAAAGTACAGATGGCTCAGATGATTGAGCTAACAGTAAAATACACCACTGTTGTTAGTGGCATGTATGTGCTGGGTTAAAATGGATGACTGATGTTGAAATATATCAAATCACCTTTGACATCCACAGTGTACTGGGCAGATGCATCAGCTATCTCACCAAACTCATCACCACAGTGACACTGCTCTGCTGTTTGGACAAAGCCAAAGAGAAAACAATAAGCTTGGTGATAGCTTCATGAATGTAACTAAATTCTTGATTCTTAATTGTGCAGGTACAATGTGGAACACCACCTTTCATGTCCACATTAAACTGTGCATCACCAGATGTTTCACTGCCCAAACTCCTATCACCAGACAAGTCTTGTGACTGGAGGGGCAATGCTTGGCTGTTGCTCTGGGATTCACAGTCACCTTCCCATTTTGGGTAGATCTGGGTTCCATCTTTGTACCAACAGGCTTTAGCAATGGGATCTGAAATCTCAAATTGCTGAACAATTGGACTGTGTGCTTCAGCAGACTTGGTCTTCTCAACATCAGGACCAAGCGGATATGTTGGAGGTGGCACTACGGACAGGCATTGAGGGGATAATTTCAGTGTACATTACCCTAGACTTAAAAAATTGATATTGTAAAATATTGTAAAAAATGTCACAGATATTAGCTCTGCATTGTAACAACAAATAAAAAGACAGACTAAAAGCTACATAAAGAGTTAGTCATAGCTAAAAAAAGACGTTTACAAAATAAAATCACCTTGATTTTTTACAATTAATTGGGCAACATCATCTGCTGTTGCACAATAGTATGCTCCAGAGTTTGAAGGATGAGTTGGTTCAATAACAAGGGTCTTCTTGATGCCTCCAATTTCAAAATCAGGCTCTCTATTAGAATCGTGTTCTTTATCCTTCTGCCATGACGCCTGGAAAGCAAGGTCTGGGGTTTCACATGTTGGTTCAGTTGGGCAGGTTGCTTCGAATGACTGCGTCTCCACAACCTCTGGTGAGGGCGACAACGGCAACGTTGGAGCTAAAGATGATGATTTATATTATAATTGCGGACTTAACAGTGGATATTTACACTTTGATTAAGAAAGGAGTTAGAGGTTTAGCTCTCCCAAACAGGGAACCAATCTTTTCACCAAATTCAAAGAGAGACACTTGCATAGATATTTTCATTAAGTCAGAAAAGATTTATATTACCATAATTTAAGAAACAGTAACAACTACATACAAAACACCACAGACAAACGGATATGCATACTGTAAATGTTAATTGCATTGAGTCTCCAAAAAGCTCTACAATTTGCTCTAAGATTCATCAAATTTAAAATACAATCACCTTTGATATCCACAGTGAAGTGCATAGTGTCATCAGAGGTTTCACAGCTGTATAGCCCTGAGTGCAAGACCTCAGCAGATGGGATAATGAGTCTTCTCAACGTGCCATTACTCTGTATATCCCAACCATTCTGCGGGAAGAGCTTTACGCCATCTTTATACCAGTAGACGGGCACAGTGGAGTCTGCAACCTCACATTCCAGCTCCAAAAGTTTGCCCGCTTCAAGTGACTTGGTTCTCTCAACGTCAAAGATAGTAGAGTACGTCACTGGTATAGCTAGCATTGGGAATTCAGGACAGCTAAATAAAATCAAGACTGAGGAAATGGATACCTTGCAAAAATTTAACTGCTGATCAGAAAATAAAATGGACTTTGGAGACTTTCAATCAGGTCACATCAGTCACAAAACAAATGATTAGAAATTATAATTACCTAGTGTGTTAACAGTTGTTTAAGGTCATGTGCATGAAACAGTTCTTCAAACCACATACAGTAGAAGCGGGAATTATTAGTGGCATCTAGAAAGAGGAGGTGGGGTTACAATATTAACGCACAAGATAAAAAGTGTAAAGTCACCTTTGATCTCCACTTGAAACTCCATGGTATCATCCTGTGTGGTACATCTGTAAACACCCGAGTGGGACAGGTCTGCAGACTGAACAACTAATGTCCTTGTGTTGCCCTCTGAGTGGATTTCTAATCCAGAGTTTGAAATGAGCTGCATTTCATCCTTGTACCAGCAAACGTGGGCCTCTGGATCCGACACCACACACTGGAGTACAATAGGGCAGCCTGCTTCGATCGACTTGGTCCTCATTGTTTCAGGAATTGCTGAGAACTTCACAGGTGGAGCTATAGATATGTTTAGATCTTGTGTCAACCTCAGCCCTTAAGATTATTCATCATAATCTATTCAGAACTAAATTGCTAACATGCTGTAATGCAGTCAAAGAAAAGATGACATCTTAGCTGCACTTTTAATGAGTGCTAAGAAGAAAGGCGACAGACAACATACAGAGTTAGTTGCTTTGCAGAGGAGGAGCTTGTTAAAGTTTTGCATTGCTTAAGATAAAACAAATCACCTTTGATGTCCACACTGAAAGTGATGGTGTCACCCTTTGTCTTGCAGCAGTATAACCCAGAGTGGAAAAATTCTGCTGAATGAACAATCAGTTTTCTCGCCAAGCCATCACTTAGAATATCAACTCCAGTTTGTGGATGGAGCTTTGACCCATCTTTGTACCAGTACACCTGGGCAGAAGGATCTGAGAGCTCACATCCTAAAACAATGGGGTCGCCTGTTTGGATGGTTTTGTTCCTCTCAGCATCTGGAATTGCTGAAAACCTCACAGGTGGGGCTATGGATATTTGGATATTTGAATAGCTTGTTAAGTTGTAAATGTTATGTTTTGAAAAGTCAGACTTTAAGAGAACACTAAATACATTTATAAATTAAGAAAGATAAGAAAAGGGGTAAAGTCACAATAAAGATGGTTAGTCTCTGTGAAAGACTATAAGAAGTATTGTAAGAAACTCACTCCACTCACCCTCTACTTCCACATTGAACCTGATGACGTCATCAATGGCATCACAGCAATATACTCCTGAATGTGAGAACTCTGCTGACTGGATGACAATTCTTCTCATGGTGCCTTCTGATTGGATATGAAGACCCTCCATTGTCTCTAATTCCACCCCATTCTTGTACCAGTGCACTGAAGCTGCAGGGTCTGACAGCTCACAGTAGAGCACAATGGGGTTCCCAATTTCTACAAATTTATTTCGATCCATTTCTGACAGTGGTGAAAACTTGACAAGAGGTGCTGCAAATTTTAGAAAAACAAAGTTTTTACATTACTGAGTCTTGCATCTAGGATAACAGAAGGATACAGTACCAAATACCAGTTAAAATAAAACAAACAAACAAAGAACACAATAACTTTGACCAAGTCACATACTGGAGCAAATTATGACAGTGACCCATACATACCTTGAATATATAGTGCTGCAGAATCCCGGATGCCATAGGCAATGAACGTGATCTCAGCTCCATTGTCTATATCACGTACTCCTCGTATACGAAGAGACTGGTGTGTTCGTGACCGACGCATGGAATAACGTTCATCTTCCTGAAGTTGAGTACCATTTAAGAACCATGTACCGATAACTGAAGCAGAGAGCTCAATAGAGAAGAGGCCATCTTGCCCCTCTGGCACCAAGGCATCCTGTAAGGGAGCTTGTATTCTGGCAACTGGAACTGGAAAATAAGATACATTTCTACATGATGTTGCAAGCAACATGTTGGTGTTTCATTTCTCAAGAACAAAAAAACAGCAGAATTGGTTTGGCTTAGTTTTTTTAGTATAACTAAACTTACCCAAGTGAACAGCCTTAGGGAACTCGACATTGTTGCTCTTTCCATATTTGTTTACACTGCAAATGCGAAATCGGTAATCAGCTTCACATGGCACACTGTCACCAAGGATCTCCACAGAGGTCGCAGAGTCTGTGGTCAGGCACTGTAGCCACTCTTGTGAGCCGGTGCCCACTTCCTGTCGCTCAAGCACATATCCAGATGGAGGGTTCTTTCGTGAGTCCTGAGCAGGAACCCATGAAAGAAGAGCTGCATTAGCCCGCTCCGTGTTGATCTGAACACTGACTGGACAACTGGGAGGACAATGTCTGGCCGCTGAAAGAGGAAAAACCCATCATGTGTGGAATTAGAATAACTGATACATGTTGATCAATTCTAAAATCTCAATAAAAGACATGCAAATACTGCATTTGAAAGCTATAATTTACAGACCAGGAACCCTACCTTTCACTCTTAGCTGAGAGGAAGTCTTGGATCTGCCTACAAGGAAAGTCACAAGGCCAGAGTCCTGGGGCATCGTATTGACGAAAACCAGGATATGTGTACGACCAAAGGACTTGAGAATGGTCTGATGCGTTTCACGCAACTCTATACTATCTTTGTACCAATGTATGTCCATTTCTTCTTTTTCCACTTCAACACAAAAGGCAGCATTTTCACCCTCCAATACATCCACTTTTCTTGGAAGCTTCCGCAAAATTGTACCTGCAAGGAAAGTAAGTGACTGATTTTTATTTGACTAAATGAATCATCAAAGTAAGTCATTTGTAATTGTCTAATAGAACAACACACACATTAAAAGTGTTTTCTGAACTGATAACTTTATCATCATGACCGCATCATTTGTCAGAGCCTTCCAAAATTGTTGCATATCTTATTTTTATCTGACACTGCTATGGTAAATGTTTGGTTAGGCTTAGGCAATAAAATGACTTCATGTTTAGGGTAAGATCACTGTTTTGGTTAAAATATATTAGATCAGGGAATGATTGTAGTCATGGTGAAAAGAAACACTGTTGCCAGTTGGCAGGTGAAACAGAAATCAGAGTACTATTTGCTTCTACGCATGTTGTGGTAGTGAATAATGCTGTGTGTTACGTCCACCCAGTCCAGCAGCTATAGCAGACCCATTAGCTGATTCTACTGGGACTGGGAGCTACCAGTGAAAAGCACATAGAGCCCAGGACCAAATACAGCATCCAATGCCGACATAGGACAGTTTGAAGTTATAAAGTACCGAGGTGGTTTTATTGTTGGTTTTGGCTCTGGCCATCCCAGGGTTAAGTTGGCTAACGTTAGCTGGAGGCAGAGCAGCTGAGAGACATCAGAGGGAAAACTAGACGTGCTAAAGTTCTGTGTGAGACCCAAGAATATTTGTTTGATGCTATGATTGATTTATTGGTAGAAAACATAAACATAACATAAATGAAAAGTTAGAACAACTTCGGTTTTGATAATCCCAAACATAAATGTATTTATCTCTTCTAAACCGTAACACCCCATATGCCTCTATTTCATGATGCTCAAAGCACTAGGGATGAGTTGGTGTTTACACTGGTAGCACAGGAGCTTTGGACCGCCAAGAGAAGGAAGTTTTCAGGCCTAGGACTGGGGGAATGATGACCAAGAGTGGTGCTGCCACTGTGTTAAAACCAGAGCCAGGCATTTTTTCAAAGAAAGCTATTTTATTATTTGATCCTGATTTACCTTTCACAGCTACTTCGGCTATGCTTCTCCCCCCATCGGGCATCTCACAGAGGTAAATCCCATCATCGTCAACTCCGATGTCACGGATAGTTAGTCGTCGTTTGGTTCCCCACTCCTCCATTCCATATTTGGCCCCTGGCTGCAGTCGTCTATCCTCCAGATACCATGTGATGGGAACAGAGTCCTCTGGAACTTCACACTCGAGTACAGCCAAATCTCGCTCCCATACTTCTAGATCAATGAGAGGCTGCTTGAACCGCACAGGCGGCTCTGGAACCAAAGGAGGAGGAAGAACAACAGTTTGATTAAGCTGTTGTTAAAATCTACTTTAAGATTTTCACATTAACTTCTCTCTATTAAAAGGTATTAGTGTTATGTAGTCCAGATAAATTCTTCAGGCAAGACGACCCTGTGAAAACTCACACAGCACATCATCTCTGTCCTTGTAAATTGAAATATATCTGGCAGTAAATTCCAGTGAAGCAAACAAGATGAGCAAAATCATGAGACAAGTGGCTTATTTAGTTGAGGAATGGAAAGGTCATTAACACATCAGGGTGTTAGATAGGAAATAAACTGTTTGTAACTGACACCATCAGACAGTACCAGACAGTTGTAAACAAAAGAATGCAGACTGTATTTAGTAGTCTGTGTGCAAAGCTTTTAATTTCCTTATGTTCCTAATGTGTTATACTCCAGTTAAACACACAGACAAATGATCAAATACATTGATTATCTACCATTTAATTGCCTTTTAAATCTATCCACTGGCCACCACTGACGATGAATCCAACCTCAATGTTATTTTCTTTATTCCTGAGTGACACAGTACAATACCTTCTGTTGGTGCCATGAGTTTGGACTTCTCGGGGCCATGTGAGAAATATGATCTCCTTCCCAAAGACTACGATCACATGGACGCCCCCCTTAGACCTTACACAAGCTAAGTGACTTTGCAGACATCATACTGCTGTTGGAATCCACCTCAAGCTGATGAACTTGTTTAGATATCTCTCAGGTCCAATTTCAGATCATTAATACATTTAATTAATCCTCCAGTGGACCCAGGATTGAATTGCTTTTAATGCAGCTGGTGTCATATACGTTTATTACTGATTATATTTGCAGCTCACCGGCCTGCTGATGTGTTGTTTTATAAATTCAACTGACTAATGATACAAAGACATATTATTGAAATGTACTTGAATGAGTTCTTTAAGTAGGCATTTGTGACCAACAACCTGTGTCATGCAATAAGCATTAGAGTGTTATTGTACATATTGTGCTGTTCTTTGGTTTGTTAATACATTGGTCACTTATGTCACTGTATTTTATCTTGAATAATGAGATAATAATAATTAATGTAATGTAAAACTACTTTTTGGAAGATAGAAAAGATTGGAGCAGAACAAAATGTCAGATTACCACTACTGGGTTTTTACCCTGTGTTGTTGTTGATGTAAATTAGTTGTTTACATGTTTTTAAAATTTTCTGTATTTCTGTTCTGGATCCAAAACAATATGATTGTGCAAAATAAACAGATTCTATTTTTAAGCATCGTAATGCCGCCATAAAACTTTTAACATTTTTATTATGCCCTCCCTGTCTGGCCCTACCCCAATAAATGATCTCAGAGTACCTCTTTAGAGATATCTCACTGACATCATCCTAGCATCAAATAGATAGAAATCTGATCCAAGAACACACCACACCCTCACTCACTCCTTTACTGACTGGAAAATGCATCACAGGCTGCAACTGTGTCTGCTTTTCCTCTTTAAAATGTATGCAAATTTACAAAAAATTCATACAAAATGAAAACTCTGAAGCTACTGAAAATGGACTTACCCTTTACGGAGAGGTGTACGGCACTGAGGGTTTGCCCTGCAGTATTTGATGCAGCACAAACATAAACTCCGTTATCCTTCTGCTTACAGTATAGAACTTTAAGTGTGAAGTATCCTTCTCTGTCCTCATATAACAAATAACGCCTTCCAGACAGTATCAGCCTGCCATCTTTCCTCCAAATTATTTCTGGTTTGGGTTTCCCAGTCACAAAGCAGCGGAATTTGGCATGTTTACCCTCTGTTACTGCAAACATTTTCACTTTTGTGGACTTGGTCATGGAGTCGTCTTTGAGCCGGTTTGGCACTTGCCTTCCACTCCTCTGTTTTCCCTGGTGGGCTTTCCAGTGGCCATTTGTGTAGCCATTACGATTTCCTTCTTCCTCGTGTCCTGGGCCTGCATCAACAAGCAATACGGCTCCTGCCAATGCTTCCCCAAACTCATTCCTGGCTTTGCATGTATATACACCACCATCTGGTGCACGAGTCTTAAAGATCTTGAGCTGGAACCATCCACCATCCTGGTAGCCCACACTGAAATGTGTGCTTTCAAATATTTCATTGAGTTTCCTGCCATCCTTTTCCCAGACAACCTCTGGCCGTGGGTTTCCCCAGAGCTTGCAAGAGAAGACAGCATCTTCCCCACGACCGACACGAGTGGACAGGGGCTTGATGAGGAATCGCGGCTTATTTTCCTCTCGTAACTCCATCTCTTGTGCCTCTCCTTCCACCTTCAGTGTGGCTGCTGCATATGTTTCACCAATGCTGTTCTTTGCTTTGCATATGTACTGGCCACTATCCTCTGTGGTCACAGCTGAAATTATAAGATTGTAAACATTTCCATCCTCAAAGACCCTGTAACGTCCTTGTGGGTTAATCTTTTCATTGTTCCTCTCCCAGATAACTGCAGGCCTTGGATCACCACCAATTTGACATTTTAGGACTGCATCAGTTCCACTTTGTACCACCACAGGTCTTGGATAGGCCAAGAAACGTGGCGCACCACCGAACACATCCATTTCTGCTCCTTTGTCAGCCTCACTTCACCTTATGTAGTCCAGGAGAGTAATACGTGGCAGTTATTCACTGGGGAAAGACAGTCCAACTTCTGCACTGCAAATTTCTAAAACAGAAATAACAGATGGTTTATTTTAAAATCAAACAGCTTACGTGTGTAAAATAACATTTTTATCATTTAACTTCATATACATTTTCTGTATATGTTATAAAATTACACTTTTAGGCTTCCTGTAATAAGGAAATTAACCTTTATACATATTTTGGAATGGAAAACAAAACGTCTGTCAATCAAACATGCAGCCTCCGCCCCCTTTACATGCATGTGTTTCAGCACAAAAGGATGGTATGATTATTAGGGCTAATTGAATTAGATCGGTCTGCATGAGAGAAAAACATAGGCTAGCAGTGAGAGGGGGACAGCCTAGTCCTATTGCAACAGCAGCCACAACACATAGCCAGTACAGCTGGTGCTGTATTTCAATGGGAAAGTGCTTAATATAGTATGTCCTAAATAAAGACCTGCGAGGGAGCGTGTGTCAGGTATCACAAAGAAGGCTCTGAAACCCGCGTGCTCACACAAACACAGGCTGAAATCGTAGTCTGCCCACCCAAGAGAAATAGAGAATCTCAAAATATGCTGAGCCTCTATCACACCCTTTGTTAGCAGCTCTGTAAGGGAATTCTATCTTTAAATATCACTGCTCAAATCAATCAATCAATCAATATCTCATATTCATTAATAGTTATCAGTTAGGCAATCCTGAAAATGTTGTATATACTACAGTTATTAATTTTCTTTCTCCTCCAGAAAACTGTGCTCACCTTTTAGCTATTTGAGTAATCTCATATTTCGCCCCAAACTCCCAAACTTTTCCATGACGAGCGTCATGGAAAAGAATATATTTATCAGTAAACTGAGTTTATGTGTTTTGGAATAGCTCCCATAAAGTGTTAGCATGTGTAACATGGTTCTCATGGTTACAGGAAGATAATCTCAGGATAGTGTTTTTGAAGCCACATCTTTGTCCTTCATCATATCACATATGATTTCTTTTGAAGAATAGTTTTTACTGAAACATTTCAATATATCATAATGATAATAATAATACATTACACATACTAAAACTTTGTTATTCAAACACAAAAATCCCAACCCATGGTCAAATACCTGAAAACTGAATAATATTGTCTTTCAAACCTTTCAAAGTGTTGTCAATCCTTATGTGAGACGCATGACAACTTAAAACCATATCTATCTTCTATTTGATGCTTTTTCCACCTAACCTTATCATTATAGGTAAATATAAATTTGATGTAAAAAAGAAAGTTTACTGTAACAATATTCATTGCTTAGCACTTTTTTAAAAATAACTTAACGTTAAACTAGTTTGTATAACCGTTTAATATATTGTTTGACATAATTAGGTGTGCACATCATTGTGGCATAACATCTCTTTTTCACATTGAAAGATGTTTGATTAACACAGTTTGGACATTGTAATGAAAGTGTCCTCAATATTCCCTCCGGAGGTTTAAAGAGAGGACACTAACCCCTGTGTTTACTTGTCTGATTTAATTGGAATGACCTCTGCCCCTTGTGAAGCTGTGCTGTGTACCCCTCACATGACCTACCTCGCTTCAGTCGCGAGGAACGACCGTCAACATACATTCCGCACTTGCAGTCTCTCTTCGAGGTAAGAAGCAATGCCACCCGTCTCCAGAAGGCTGAGTAATGTCCCAAGTTGACTTCAGATTCAGACACATACTCTCCTCAAAGGTCCCAAGTTCTACTCCAGTACATGTTTTTAGATGTTTGTCCAATAGAAGGGATAGAAAACAGAACTTCAGTATCAACACCAGCTTTCCGTTGAACAACTGCAGAGTGGTCCCCCAATCTCTGTGTCGTTCAGGCCTTAGACACCCCAAGTGTCATTGTTCGTGGAATACCGTTAAATGCTTTTGCAGCTGCTGCTGTCCCCTAAAAATACTGGCTGCCTCGATGACAGCAGTGAAGATAAGTCGGGCACTTCCATTTACTTGCCAGCAGGGACTAAAGATAGTTCAGGTGGCCAGTGCAGGCCAGACTGCTTAGCTTACTTGAGGCTTTGCAATAAAAACCTAAGGAAAAGAGCAAGCTTCTGGTCTCTAAATATTGTCAGGATCACCATCATTTAGTCTCAACCAACATTTGTTTAACTCACAGTTTATAAAGGCTGTCACAGTATTTCATAGTGTGCTGAGGAAGAAAGCAAGTGTAATTTGGAGCAGACATTGGAAATTAATTAAACAAAATTTTGGTTTACCTACCTTTTTATCCAAATAGAAATGATTTTAATTTGTGTTGAGTATAATCACAAGAAGAGACACAGTGATGTAAAGCTATATGCAAATAGGCTTTGAGCAAGAAACAATACTAAAAACACACAATAATATAAAAGCAACATTATGTAAGGAGGGTATTTTTTTCTATTTGACTGACAGTGACTAAACGCCTGTCTTGTCCAGCAGCCTCTCTCCTTTCCTCTTCTTAGCTTCCTCTGTCAATGTATCGTCCCCTCTACCATGATGTCTGTAAATGTCTGAGCCCGGTAATGTCGGCCACTCACCCGGCTCCAGTTCTGGTGACCATTTTACCACTGCTCCCTCCCAGTATCAGTCAGAGTTTGGTGCTACAGCCCCCTTCCCCACCCCAACCTCCTCTTTATGTGTTGAGTTTGAGGTATTCTTGATTGAATTAAGATTTATATTAAACTCTCAAATCAGAGTCTGTTTACAGGTCTTGGGGAGTACAACAGCACATGAATGAATACAGTTGTATGAAGCCTTTTGAGGCTCCAAAGGAAGCTGTGTGAAGTCTGTTCATTTGCCTCAGGTGATGTCATGAGTCAGCATTGGTTGGGTCTGAAGACTACAAGTTTGAAAATTGAAAAAAATGCGGGGGTGTGGAACTCGATCCTCATCTCTGCTTGAGGCTAGCAGCTGGAGGCAGAACTTTTGTGGACTACAACTACAGAACTACAAGTGGCTCAGTGACCCCACACAGTGGCCAGATTTTGCTTAGCCATACATTTATACCACCACATAGCACATATTCGATCGAATCACTAGGTTAATGTTATCTGTAAATAACCAGCCTGTAAATGAAACTAACCTGTTAACTGTTTGATCTTGCTAGGCTCACATTTAGTTGGAGACCAAAGTCATGCTGCTCTCATATGACTGTTTGACTGTACTCCAGCAGCCTCCCACCCAGCTATCCATCAGTAGTGACTGTCACCAGCATCTTTCAACTATTTGCCACACTGACAGGGAAAATTCATGTATCTTATGTCAATGTGAAGGCCTAGTTAATAGAGTTGTTTCTAGTTTCTTATTCAGTATCACTTAAGTTATAGAATCAAATTCATATTTATTGTCATCAAAAAGGAATTTTTACTGATGCCAAAAGAAGGAATTACCGTTCTCTGGAGGCTCTTACTTCTCTCCTTTTGGGATCCCTTCCTAACCAGGAAGGATGGGATTTGGATTTGTATGTTTATTTGTTTTACAACCTGCCACACAAAAGCTTTTTCAGCATTTTTCTGCTTATCACATTAAGTGTGATTCTTTCCCCCGGCCTTGACGCAGTACCGGTACTTACTTTTTCCAATATTGTTAACCATGACAACTGTGCATTGACATCCAAATTTAACATTTGTCAGTAACAAAGTATAGAGGACATTTTCATCCCTTGCAAATACTTGATGATTAGGAGTCTTATTGGCTAGAAATAGTTATGATCTGCATGTGTTGGCAAGTATAGTATCCTCATCTGCTCGTCCTAAGCTGCAGTCAAGTTAGTAAACCAAAGAGTTTTAATTCAACCAATGCATTTATTTACAATATATATGGTCTATACATTATGGATTATGAACTATTGTATTTATTTTATATACTACTCTATCTAGAAATCAGTATTTTCTGTTAAAGGAGGCAGTATCTGATTTGAGGCAGTGGTAATGAGGGGATTGGACAGCACGTGGGCCTGGGTTTTTCAGTGTGTGAGGCTGCTGTGTGATTATGAGACCTGGTCTCAGCATGGGCTGCGGCGTCCCTTCAGCTGTTTAGTGGCTCCACAGCCCCACACTCCCTCCTCCCTCATTTCAGCTGTTGGAAGTAATCTGATATAACTCAGAACCCTGTAGCTGGTTATAAAAACGCTTTGTGCTTACGACTGAGTAACAAGTTAAAGGGTTGTTATGTTATCAGAACTCATATATCCTGAACTGAAATTCAAGCATGTAGTGTTTCTCTATGTTGCATCAGATCTATGTATAAGTGTTTTAAAATACATCTTGGCTATCAAAGGCTATGGAGGGTTTGGGGTCTGAGAAAAACTGCCAAGTAATGTTTTCCTACTTTGCTTATATTGAAGTTTCTTGATATTGGTCTAGGGGCAATTTCATTCTATTTCCTTCAAACAGGCTATAATTCCAAAAGAATTGCAGATACAGTTTAATCTCTCCTCTATACCAATCCTGTTTCTTCAGGACAGAAAACTATTTTATGGGCAGCAGATGTTGGTGCAGGTCTCAAATTGCACCATCAATCTGATGCTTTCACCTCTACACAAATAAACGCTGAGATGTTTTTAGTGATGTTTGCTTTTTTAGCTAAATGCTTCACAAGTCATGGATGTTGAGAATGGTTTCTGCCTTAGCAAATATTTACTCTACAACACTCATTTAAATTACAGAAGAAACATTTTTGACACTCTCTTCTTCTTTGACCTTTCTTTGATGCTGCAGTGAAACTATGATGTAAAGCTGGGTCAAGCTGCACTGAAGAAACAGCTCTTCTAGAAACAAGCCAAATATTGTTAAATATAATCAAATGTTGTTGTTTTTTTAATTTAAAAGCCAATTTTCAATTTTGCTTGGCTAGAATTCTTAAAACTAGCATAAAAATCTAACCTGAAAAGCCTAAGATTTTTAGACTTTCTTAAAATTTTATTTTGGTCACTTTATTGAGCTAAATTTTATATTTCATATCTGAATCTATGATTAATAGTTTGCCAAACAAATCTTACAAAAAGACACAACTTCTTCAAACAGCGTAATAATAAATTATATAAAATTATGGCACCAGAAGCATTCTTATGTTTAGCGTTTTTCATTAAAACAATGAAAAACTAAACAGCTACTTCAATTACAACAAGGGGACAAGATCACATTCTCTTAAATTTAGAAAAGTTGTGCAAGTGGTCTTACTCTTGTTACTGGTTAAATCTAGCTCAATATTAGCTGTTATATCTTATTAAGACTAATTATTTTTCTTATGCAACATCTGCTTGACAAGACTCATTTACCAGAAGCTTCTAGAAATTTCTTTTTTGTGTGTCACCTAGTATCACAAGCCCTGTAAATCATCAGACTAGAAAAGGGTGTGAAGCTTTTAAAACTGAACAGTGTTGACAGGATCAGCAAATCAACCTCCTGGTTACAAACATCTGTCGAGAAAAAAGTCCATTAGTCCATTTTGACCATCAGGATGTGGACAGTGGGTTACTGTCAACCATTTGCCTGCACACTCTATTGTAGCTAGTGACCTAATATGGAGGGAACAATAGTGTATCATTGTTGTGCGTATTGATTACACCACACCTTAGTATGAGCCACACCTGTATCAGGTAGTTTGGTATATATAAGTGTCACTCTGTGTGCAGTGTAAAGGGTGGTTAGCAAGACTGAAATGTTGCAGTGAATAGATCATCCTCAGTTCTCGGACAACTTAAGAGTGTAGGAGCTTCCTTAAACTGCTGTGCATGAAACTTTAAATAATGTTTTGGACATCCTGCCAAATGACAGGTTAGGTAAGATTACAAGGCATTTATTTGAACGCTGGAATAAGAGTCACCATAAAATGTTGGTGCTTAACCCTTTAAAGTAAATTGCAAACACATTTTCTGTACTTCAAACTTTCTTTAGAAGTTCAACTCAAAATAACTAATTCAGTTTTGTATTTGTATTTATAAAGATATCCAATAAAGCAATTAATTCTAATGTGGACTGAATTTGATGGTCAAACAACCAATCAAATATGAAATTATCCTTATGTCTGAGGAATACTTTATGGTATACTGTGTTATAGGCTTGTTGACACTGAACCTGTCACTAGCATTAAGACGAATTGTGCTGCTGTGGGAGTCCAAAAATAGTTCAGATTGTATGATAAAGCTTTTTGAACAGATGTATTTTCTATTAAAAAATAATAAGTGATATACACATAAATAAATAGATAAGTTGTCATTTTACTTTTGATACTGTGATCATGTACTGCAGGAAGTCTTCCACTGTTGCTCGCAGTACTAAAAAAGGCCAAAACAATTAGCACGATTACAACTGTGTCACATTGCTCATGAGGGATGATAATAATTGAAGTTTTCATTATAGAGCTGCAGTAGGCACTATATATTACTCTTTATGGAAAGAGTCCCTCCCTGCTCTTTGTAAGGTTACACTGCAACATAGCATTTAACAGACAATTTTGCCTTTCTTTTCCGACATTTTTTCTGACATCGGAATGCGAGGAAAGCAGCCATTCACAGAGCTGTGGACGTGTTCAGACAGTCGCCTGGAGGCCTACAGATAGAGCGACTAATACAGCAGAGTCTGATACATGAACCCAGTGCCTTTTCCTGTGATAACAAACTCACCTTATATGCTCAAAGGAGGTAGCAGTGCATGGCACACACATAGGAAGTACCACTAAATTACTGAATTCACATGTTTTATTAGTTATAATATCCAGCCATAATGGCACAAATCAAGACATGCATCAGTACATGTCTGTACTTCTGCCTAGATCACATCAATAAATGGAAAGTCTTTTATCCTGTTTAATAGAGACAAAAGCAAATCTTAGATTCATATTTGGCAGTGCTTATACATAGCTGCATCCTCTTTTACATCATGATTGCTGTTGTTTCTATAGTCCAACAATCCCTACACAGATGTGGA